AACGAAATTTGTTCAACACAAATACTAAATTTCATCAATTATACGGTTCTTCGCCCGCACTTTTATCGCGTTCTCATGCTCCCTGCTAAACTTACTATTAAAGTTCTCACGTCTGCCGCTCAATAGTTCATTCAGTACGGTTTCCCAGTTTACATTCATCGTCAATTCTTTCATACACATCTTTCAATCTCTATTTCTAGCTATTATCTCTACCTCGTTCCCTCGCATCATCACCATACATGTCCGAGTGATTCATCTTCCCGCAAGCCCATTCTTCTATCTCTCGCTCGAAGAATTACGTATGAAAGGTCGGTCGGACGGATAAGCGGCGCGTCGTCGAAACTTTTAGCAGACGTGCACACGCTAGAACGAAAGAAAATAACACGGTCTGCACGACGATCGTTGCCAGCCGAGCACGATATAATCGCAATCGAAACGGCAATATTCACGCGACGCTGATCTACACGCAACGGGACCCGATGCACCTCCTGCGCGCACCTTGACCCCCTTGATTCCCCCCCTTGACGCGCATCAGCCATCGTACCGCACCGGCACCGACATCGACATCAACGAAACAATTTCGTCAATGAACAATGATGAGCCGATTTAGACTCGTTCGCGGGGCATAGATCGCGTTTAAGCAGCCGATGGTCCTGGGAAACTCTCGAAAAGCTTGTTCTCTGTGTTCCATTTGTCGCTTTGCCTTTCACGAGCGGTTTCCGAGAGAGCCCCTACGATTTCGTTGGGGCTGTGGAGCCGGTTACTGTGCGGCGACCACGATTGCTGTGCCTTTAGTTTGTTTTTATTTATTATCTTTTATTATTTTAATTTTTACTATTTTTAATTATTTTTTATTTATTATTTTTGTATTGTTTTATTCATTATTATATAATTAATAATTTTTTTTGTTAACACTAAATCTACCACGGTCAAAACGACCGGTTTTTAATTTTACGATACTACAAACTTCAGAGATTTCTTGGTAGCAAATGACTGAATAAATTACGTTATTGGAGCAGCAAGTTTTCTAATTAAAACTTTGCAAAATCTAAATGAATTTCACCTGTTCGGTAGGTTTAGTGTTGAAAAATAAACAAAATAAAAGAATACAATAATATAGCATGTCTTACTCGATAAAACAGATCGAGGGCACAATAATTGGGGTCGCCCCACAGTAACCGGACGGGGGTCCACTACCCTATATCATGAAAAATGTTCTTAGCCCGGTTGCTCGAGATGTATTCTAGTTTAATTCGAGCCCGATCGTTGGAACAGATTCGCGCGAGCTGCCCGTTGCACCGAGAACCTGTTACTCTTTCGTAGGTAGGAATCGGAGTCACAACGACGTACCCCGCGAGCATGAATTTTTGCGCGTAACGAGGCGGCGACTAGCGAGCACTCCGGTAGACGAGGGAACAGAGCCATTTATTATTCAGACTCTCCTGTTATCGGTTTTCCTCTTCGCTGTCTTCCCGAGCTTTATTAGTCTCTCGTAATCGCGTGTCGTTCTCGTCGACGCCTTGCAACGAGGAATATTTTCTCGCTGGATGACTCGCAAATAAACGGGTTCGAAGGACATTTCCCGAGTCGAAGTCGGCCGTGTCGGCTGAAACTCGGGTTGCCGAATAATCTCGTTCCAGCATTTCTCGATACACCGGTTTCGCGGTCGCCGTGAAAAATGTAGAAAGTTGCTAGGCTCGCCCATCCACGCCCGAGAGCCATACAACGCAGGGTTCAAACTCTGTTCTCTGAAAAGAGAACTGCACTTGACTCTCTCGACAGGATAACAAACTACCCGGACCCGGTTAATCCGCGTGTATTTCTTGCGAGCACTTCGAGATCGTTAGACAACGTCGCCTGTGGGTCGAAATAATATCGTCTCGGGAGCACAATATTATCTCTGGCGGCGACAGCGTCGAATTCTCGAGCAAGATGTTCAACACTTGGACGACGAGCCTCGGGTCCACTTGGACCCGGAATATAAATGTTGTTATTCGACTGTTATTCTGACGATATATATTCATTCGAATTGTCCACAGATTCGTTAAGCTTCGTCCGGAATAAGTACATTATCAGAAAATGCCTTAATAAATTGCTAAATGACATTATAAATGATCCTAAGTGTATTAACAGTTCGATCGTGCCAAAAGCCTAAAAAATGTCATAAGATTGAAGTATTTCATTCAGTTAAATTAATATTGCGAAGCAAATTTGTGTGTAAAATTATGATTTTATTATTAAAATTGCGATGCAAGCTTATGTATAAAATTATGATTTTGTTATTAAAATTGCGAAGCAAACTCATAAGTAAAATTGTAATTTTATTATTGAAATAGCGAAGCAAACTCATAAGTAAAATTATGATTTTGTTATTAAAATTGCGAAGCAAACTCATAAATAAAATAGTGATTTTATTATTAAAATAGCGAAGCAAACTCATAAGTAAAATTGTGATTTTATTATTAAAAT